AGGGAGGAGGGCTTTTCAAGCCAGAGACTGTTGAACTCCAACCCCAGAATTCCTGATTTAATAGCTCTGGGCTTCGGACCTCAAAGTTTGCATTTTTATCAAGTTCCTAGGTGATGTGAATGCTGCTTCCCCTTGCTTCATTTGCACAGGTGCCTGCATTTTTATTTTATTTTTTCATAAGGAAGATTTGATAATTTCCAGCAGAACCAGTGGCACTGGATATTTGTCATAAGATACAGTATTTACTTAGGCCAAATGAACATTGTTTTAAACTCTGTAAAAACAGAAGATGCTGGCATCCTGACTTCCATGTAAGGTTCTCTGAACCCTGTTCTCTCTCGGATCTGTATCACTGACTCATATTTAGACCCAACGCACCTCAAGCAAAGCCGCTGTCAGAACTGCGCAGTGCACTGTTCTCTCCTGTCACCCACCCTTGGCCCCGCTCTCCCCAAACTCTGTTTACACCAGATGTCACTTAAATTTTTTTAAAAAGTTGATTTCATAAAGGAAGGGAGAGGGAAAGACAGAAACATCAATGATGAGAGAGAATCATGGATTGGCTGCCTCCTGTATATTCCCTACTGGGGATCAAGCCCGCAACCTAGACACGTGCCCTTGACTGGAATTGAACCTGGGACCCTTCAGTCCACAGGCTGATGCTCTATCCACAGAGCTAAACTATCCAGGTCCAGATGCCACCTTTTATATTAAAACATTAACTGTGGTCAACAAGTATATGCATAATCCATGGGCCCAGACAATAGTGTGGTGAAGGCTTAGGGCAGGTGGTGGAAACGGGCTAGAAGTCAATGGGGGAAAAAAGAGGGTATAGGTAATACTTTCAACAATGAAGATTTGAGAGAGAGAGAGAGAGAGAGAGAGAGAGAGAGAGAGAGAGAGAGACAGGAAAAAACAAAACAGTAGTCATCAAGGCTACTATATCTACTATTAATATAAGTCCATTTATAAAGTAATTACCCAATGATAGGTCCTAATGTTAAATAACTAAGTTTATATGCATTGAAAAAATGTTCAGTGGAGCCAGTCAAAAGTCGCAGAAAACTTTTAACACAGTTGCAAGACCAGCAAACCAGTGACTTTGGAGGAATTAAACTTGTGTCCTTGATTTACCAAAGGCCTTTGGCTTGAGCACTCTCTGTGCAGCTGTAATTAGAACCCAAAGGGTCGGTTTGGATTTTTAAACAGAATTGTCATTGACAATAAGACTTCCTATGCAGGCCCTAGCTGGTTTTGCTCAGTGGTTAGAGCATCAGCCTGCAGACAGAAGGGTCTCAGGTTTGATTCCGGTCAAGGGCACATGCCTGGGTTGCAGGCTTGGTCCCCAGTGGGGGGTGTGCAGGAGGCAGCCTATCAATGGTTCTCTCTCATCATTGATATTTGTTTTTTAAATATATTTTATTGATTTTTTACAGAGAGGAAGAGAGAGGGACAGAGAGTTATTGTAGAAACATCAATGAGAGAGTATCATCGATCAGCTGCCTCTTTTTTTTTTTTTAAATCAATCTTTATTGTTCATATTATTACAAAGGTTCCTCATTTCTTCCCCCCTCCACCAGGTTCCCACCCCACCCTCCGCCCCCTCACCACCCCGCATTGTCCTCATCTATAGGTGCACAGTTTATGTTCAGTCTCTTCCTCCCTCCCTTTCTCGGAGAACAGTCAGTCCACTCCCCTCCCATATCACCGACTCTATTACAATGAACAGATCAGCTGCCTCTTGCACACCCCCTACTGGGAATGTGCCCGCAACCAAGGTACATGCCCTTGATGGGAATCGAACCCGGGACCTTTCAGTCCACAGGCTGACGCTCTATCCACTGAGCCAAACCGGTTTCGGCTCATCACTGATATTTCTATCTATCTCCTTTCCTCTCTGAAATTAATAAAAATATATTTTTAAAAAAATTCCTGTGCAGGAAGAAAATTCCCCATCACTCTTTTATCGGGACTTGGAGAGAAGGATGAATTCTCTCTGGTGAATTCCCTATTTCGTTGGTGCTAAATTTCACATTGTTTTGCACGGTAACAACGCTGAAGTACACACATCTGACAATGAAAGGCATTTTATAATCATGGCCGGCCAGATGGAAGCTGAGATGTACTGTCACTGCCTGAACATGCACAAACTTAGTGGTCATTCCTGGTGTGATGACTTGGCATCTGTGATCTCCATGTTTCTCTCAGCAAATCATATAAGAACTGTCTGGAAAAGAAACGTGCTACCTGCTGTCTAAAACCTTCCATCGACGCCTTCAAGTAAGATCAAGAATGTGCCAGCATCAAAACGTGTGCACGAGGGGTCAGTGTCTTGAGAGCTAACAGTGGAGTACGCTTCAGACATCTGCATCAGCAGCACCTGGTGATTATGGACACCAAGGCCCCAGTCAAAAATGATTCAGGAGAATAGAGATTCTGATTGTGAAGGAATGAGGGAAATTCATTCACTAATATTTACCTTTTTATGTTTGCACAAGATGACATGATAATGATGAATGTCTATATCTACAAGCTCACATTCAATACATATTTTAATGATTCTAAATGATAAAAAAATAATTACAAATAGTTTAATTGGAAGTATCTTTCTTTTTAACAGAAGCTCTCAATCTTTTTGAACTGAGGACTCAATTCATTTATTGATGACCATAAAGAACTTTTGTTGCCGGGACCGGTTTGGCTCAGAGAATAGAGCTTCGGCCTGCAGACTGAAAGGTCCCAGGTTCAATTCCCGTCAAGGGCATGTACCTTGGTTGTGGGCACATTCCCAGTAGGGGGTGTGCAAGCGGTAGTTGATTGATGATTCTCTCTCATCGATGTTTCTCACTCTCTATCCCTCTCTCTTCCTCTCTGTGAAAAATCAATAAAATATATATAAAAAAAAGAACTTTTGTTTGCCCTAACCAGTTTGGCTCAATGGATAGAGCATCGGCCTGCTGACTGAAGGGTCCCAGGTTTGATTCTGGTCAAGGGCATGTACCTTGGTTGTGGGCACTTTCCCAGTGGGGAGTGTGCAGGAGGCAGCTGAATCAATGTTTCTCTCTCATTGGTGTTTCTAACTCTATCACTCTACCTTCCTCTCTGTAAAAACAAACAAACAAACAAAAAAACCCTCTTGTTTATGTGGTACTATCTATCAACATTTAAAAAAATATATTTTATTGATTTTTTACAGAGAGGAAGAGAGAGGGATAGAGAGTTAGAAACATCGATCAGCTGCCTCTTGCACACCCCCTACTGGGGATGTGCCCACAACCAAGGTACATGCCCTTGACCGGAATCGAACCAGACATCCTTCAGTCCGCAGGCCGACGCTCTATCCACTAAGCCAAACCAGTTTTGGCTATCAAGATTTTTGATATTAGAAATTTAAAGAGACTTTGAATACTGGAGAATACACAAGCACACGTTCCATTCTCAGTGAGAGAGATGACACACAGTCTCTGCGAAAAAGCCAACCCATGTACACAGGTGAGAGAATGAAAGCAAAAAGGGGCAGATGATGTCACAGTGTTAATAGGAAAAGAGTTTTGACTTTGTGATACCCTGCACCCTTAGCCACTGGCATATAAAATAATGGTGTATTTTACACCATTAGAGTTAATGAATATGGTATATGTCCACCTAAAATATTAGAAGGGGTAAAATCTTGGAGAACTGTTGTTGGACAGCTGGTGTAGCTCTCTGAGACACTGGGTATCCTGTAGGTCTGGGGACTTCTGACTCAGGAGAAGGTACCGTCAGTGTACCTAGTGGAACTGGCTGTGGAGGAGGAATACTGGAAAGAAGTTGGGGCAAAGATGAAAGGAGTGTGTTTGGTACCCAAGGGAAGAGAGCTGGATTTCCTGGAGACCAGGAGGGGAGTTCCTGCCAGTGATGGAGATTTGGGGTGACATGCACATGGCTGTAGAAGACGGACACTGGGTACACAGGGCACCAGCCAGGTTCCCACCATACAGGTGGGATTCAGGGCCCCTCCATGTAGGCATCCCCAAGGAGATCCTGGGGAAAGCCACCAAAGATTGCTGTCCAGGGCCTCTTCTGCCACTTTCCTGACCCGAAATCCTAAAACTGCCCAAGGAAGGAGGATCAGGGGAGACAGAGAAAGAGAGAGAAAGTGAGAGAAAAGTTGAGATTGGCTTTCTCCAGGAATTGCTGAGACCAGATTAGCTTTGATTTAGAAACTACAGAATAAGTTACAGCTGCACAGCAAAGTCCTTAGGAGCAGGCCTGAGACCATCTGACTTTGATTTCTAGCTCTGCCACTTTCTATCTGGAAAGGCATTGCCGTGGGATCCCGCTGGGAGCACCAAATGAGAGATACACATAAGCTCTTCAAACGATGCCTGGCACATAGTGAGGGTCATCGTGACATGTACCTTGGGTGTCCTGGAGATGTCACATCTGCCCTGCTACATTCTTGGAGGGTTGGGATGGCTGAAGTTTGACCGCCAGCTCTATTGTTAACTAGATTAAGGCCTAAACCAGAGTCCTGGGGACGGAGGGCAGGAACATATTCGAAGTTGCATTAGTGCTCCATCTGGGAGTGGGCAGCAGAAGCCGCGTGGGAGGGTCCTGCAGGCCCAGCCCACCGGGCCAGCCAGGCCTTACCTGCTTCGGAAGGACCCAGGGCCTCGCTCAGGTGTGAGCACAAACTTCCCAGGACTCCGTAGGGGTCGAGACACTCCGCTCCTGAGTTCTCCTCAGGCTTAACTTTCCCCAGGGCGGGCCGGGCGCTCTTTGCACAATTGGGGTTGGAGGTTGGGTGGAGTCTGAGCCCGGAGGTGGGCGCGGGCCGGACCGTCGAGGCCCTTGACGCCTGCAGGGACGTCGTCCCGGGGGCGGGGCCTGCGGGCGAGGGGCGGCCCACAGGGGGCGGGGCCTGGCTGCGGCTGGGGAGGGGGCGGGGCCTGGTCGGGCGGGGGCGGGGCCTGCGAGAGAGGGGCGGCTCACGGGCGGAGCGGGGCGCGGGGAGGCCGGCCCCGGGCGCCACATCCGGCGGCCGCCCGGAGAGCATAAAACCGCCGCTGTCGCCGCCGCCGCCGCTGTCGGCGTTGTTCGCAGCCGCTCTGGCTTCCTCTCGGCCTCGGGAGCGTCTGCTCCCATGCTCCGGGGCAGCCATGAGCACCCCGCACTGGTGGGACCAGCTGCGGGCCGGCAGCTCGGAGGTGGACTGGTGCGAGGACAACTACACCATCGTGCCGGCCATCGCCGAGTTCTACAACACGGTGCGGGGCGCGGGGCGCGGGGCTCGCGGGAGGGGCTGGAACCTGGCGGTGGCTCCGCGAGTACCCGAGGCATTGCATTCTCTCTCTCTCTCTCTCTCTCTCTCTCTCTCTCTCTCTCTCTCTCTCTCTCTCTCTCTCTCTCTCTCTCTCTCTCTCTCTCGGGCCAGGGTCCGCCCACGCTCCCTCCCCGCCCGCTCCCTCCAGGTCTCCATCTGTCCCGCTCTCCTGCCCCTACCGCGTCGGCCGGGCTCGGCTTCCTCCTCGGGTCCAGTCTGCTGACTGTTGTGTCGTGCGGTCCCCACCCGTCCTGGGGCCAGTTTCTGGTGTCAGCCCGTCTCTGCGTTGGGCCGGCTGCGGGGAGCCCGCGGGGACCGCTCCGGGCCGCCCCCGGGGTCCCCGGGGCGTGACGCAGTCGGGCCGCATTGTGCGGTTTTGCTCTGAGCACCTGCCCGGGAGCCCCGGGCACCGGGCGGCACCCCCGCAGGGCTCCGGAGCGGGGCCCACGCTGATCGTGCTCACTGGCCCCAACCCGCGTCTGCATCCATGGTTCCTTTGGGCCGGAACCAAGTTAATTACTTATAGTTCTTACTTCCTTGCCTTGCTTGGTACCCGGTCCAGCGCCAGCTCCAGCTCAGCGCCCCCTGGCCAGGGGTGTGCACGCTCTGGATCTGAGGTCCGGGGAGGGAAAGGGAAACTTGGCAGTGATTGTGGACATGATTTCTGGACTTGCCTAGGTCTCCAGATAGTGCAACACCCCCCCTGCAGAATCCTGTGTGCTTGTTAGTCTTGGTTGGAGGAAAAGCTTGGCAACTGCGAGGGGAAGACCTGTGCCCACGGCTCAGGATTCTGGCACCAAATGCAGGACTTTGCTTGGTCATCTGAGTGGTTTATCTTTTCACGGGGAGCAACAGGAACTCCCGGCTTAAGGTTCATTGAGAAGTTGAGGTGGTTCTTTAGAATGTTCATTTAGATTTGTTCATGTAGATTTGCTGGAGGGAACGTTGGCGTCAGCCAGGTGTTTATTGCCTGGAAGGGATCTCTGCTGAGCTGGGCCCTGCCCTCCTGGTCACGGATGAGCAAACCGAGCTCTTGAGAAGGGAGCTGGCATGGTGTCTTTTCTGGTGGGTGGGGGCCACAATTCAGAAGTCTGTATCCTGGGTCCTCTTGTTGCTGAAACCCACGGCTGCGGCTGCCCTCTCTACAAACACTCCTGCTTTTATATGGCTAGGTTAGTTCCTCAAGATCACCTTGTCTTCTGCTCTTCGTAGATACAGGTAGTGGAGGAGGCCACACCTCACCTGTCCGTGTAGGGGGCGCCCACATCACTATGGAGCCCGGCTGGGTTCTTTCAACGGCAGTGACTCAGGTTCTCCATTTGAAAGTGGAGACCACTACCAGGGATTTCACCAGTTAAAGAAGAAATGACAGCTGGGGGACAGGGTCTCCTACTCTCTGCAGAGTCATAATCGGTGGAATCTGAGGCCAGCAGAGAGTCAGGCCTGGTTATTTGGCCAAAAGGTTGTATAGCTTGCACTGGGCCTGCCTTGAAAAGCCCCAGAGTGCTGGATACAGGGGAGGATTTGTTTGGTTTCACTTTTAATCTGGTTCCATTGGAGCAGATAGGTGGTGGGTGCCAAAATCTTTTTTTTTTTTTTTTTTTTAGAAATCAACTGTTGCCCTGACCGGTTTGGTTCAGTGGATAGAGCATCGGCCTGTGGACTCAAGGGTCCCAGGTTCGATTCTGGTCAAGGGCATGTACTTTGGTTTCAGGCACATACCCAGTAGTGGGGTGTGCAGGAAGCAGCTGGTTGATGTTTCTCTCTCATCGATGTTTCTAGCTCTCTATCCCTCTCCCTTCCTCTCTGTAAAAGAAAAAAAAGAAATCAACTGTTGATCTTTAGCTGCGGCATCGTGGCTGATTAGCCCAGCTGGTCTGCCTGACAAACCTTACTCTTTGAAATACTTACAAGCCACAAAATGTGCTTCAGCAGTGCCCAGAGCCTAAGGTCTCAGGGAAGTGGCTGGTCACCAAACTTGGTTGGTCCAAGAGTTTAGCAAAAACCATAGCTTCTCTGTCCCCGTGCCCTGGTTATCGGTGGTGCTTATACGTCACTGGACAAACCTCTTACTCCTGTGCTCAGGAAGGCAGTGAGCCTTTACTTGGAGATTAGCATCTAATTAAATCCTCATAGTAAGGCAGCAGGTGTGGTTATCAGTCATAGGAGAAAATAATAATTATCACTAATTTTAGAGAAGAAGTTTAAGGAGTTGAAATGTAAAGTCAGAAGCCTGGGAGAGGGATCCAGAAGACTCTTTGGGGTAGCACAGTGGTCAGCAAACTCATAAGTCAACAGAGCGGCAAACCGCGGCTGGCAAGCTGCATGTGGCTTGAGAGCTGCAGTTTGCCGACCACTGGGGTAGCACATCGCTACTACAACTTCAGTTATGCCAGTTTCCATGGATTGTTTACTGTGTTGCTGAAGCTCTGCTGGGCCACCCTCGGAAGTGATTGCTATTTTCTGTGCCCATTTTATAAAGGAGCAAACCGGGGCCTAGACAGAGTATGCAACTTGCTGAGGTCAAGAAAAGAGCAGAGCCCAGCCGGTGTGGCTCAGTGGTTGAGTGCTGAGTGTTGACCTATGAACCAGGAGGTCATGGTTCTATTCCCGGTCAAGACACATGCTTGGGATTTGGGCTCGATTCCCACTGGGGGGCGTGCAGGAGGCAGCTGGCCAATGATTCTCTCTCATCATTGATGTTTCTCTCTCCCTTCATCTCTGAAATCAATAAAAATATACTTTAAAAAAATGGCAGAACTAGAGTTAGAATTTGGTCCATCTGATTCTGCTAAGGTACAACTCGTGAAGATACAAGTGCCATGGTAGCACCTTAGATTTGTTTATGTGGCACATACATCTATTTGTTATTCAGTTGTGTGTTTTTTTAACTTAAATCCTGCCTTGGGACCATTTGATGCTTGATTTGAAAAGTTTGTGTAAAGTAGTTTATTGTTTTGGTTGTTGTTTATTATAACACTAATACATGATTATGGTCAAAACTTCAGAGTATTCATGTTGTAAAATGAAAAATACCCTTTCTTCTGTATATTTGTTGTTGTTATTAATCTTCACCCAAGGATATTTTTTTTCCATTGATTTTTAGACAGAGTGGAAGGGAGGGAGGAAGGGTCAGAGAGAAAGAGAGACACATTGATTGGTTGCCTCCCACACATGCTCTGACCAGGGCCAGGGACTGAACCTGCAATCCAGGTACTTGTCCTTGACCAGGAATCGAACCTGTGACCCTTTGGTTAGACCCATGCTCTAACCACCAAGAAACACTGGCTAGAGCTCTTCTGTATCTTTTCAGACTTTTTCTAGGCATATAAAAAGCACTGCAGCCCTAACTGGTTGGCTCAGTGTACAGAGCACTGGCCTGTGGACTCGGAGTCCTGGGTTGGATTCCTGTCAAGGGCACATACCCAGGTTGTGGCTGGGTCCCCAGTAGGGGGCGTGCAGGAGGCAAACAATCAATGATTCCTTCTCATCATAGATATTTCTGTCTCTTCCTCTCCCTTCCTCTCTGAAATTAATAAAAATACATTAAAAAAAGTGCTTGTATTATTTGTCTGAGTCTATGAAATATGTATGTATATTGCATATTAAACCCAATCTAAGTTTTTTTCAACCCAATTGAGCTACTACACAAACTTCTGCACCTTGGTTTTTTTCACTTAATATGTCTTGGAGATAGTCCTATAGTGGCTCTTATTTTTCTTTTTACAATGTCTACATAGTATTTCATTTAATGGATTAGCCATAATCTATTTAACCAGTTAATTCCTTATTGATGGACTTTTAATGCAATTGCTGTTTGTTTTTATTAGTTTCTGAAAGTGATGCATATCATACATTATATAGTCATTCTGACTATCCTCATACATGCATCTGGATATATTTTTGCAAGGGCTAATCCTAGATCGGGAATTACTGTGTCAAAGGGCATATTCACTTTAAAGTAGGGGTGTCGAACTCAATCAGAGAAGGGGCCAAAATCTAAAATCCAGCCTAAATCGCGGGCCGAATGGTTTACTGAACAGTCATAAACTGTCATTGTGATGGAAACGCAGCGGAGTGCAGTGATGACAGCGCGGTGCGGGCCACATTGCAAGGCCTGGTGGGACGGATTTGGCCTGCGGGCCTTGTGTTTGACACATGTGCTTTAAAGGCTGATAATTATTGCTAATCTTTTTTTATTTTCAATTTCAGTTGACATACTTTATTACATAAGTTTGAGGTGTACACACCCCAGTGATTAGACATTTATGAATTACTAAGTGATCATCCTGATAAATCTCATCTGACACCATACATTAGAATATTAGAACATTATTAAATATTAGATATTGCCTATGCTGTATTTTATATCCCTATGACTATTCTGTAACAACCCATTTGAATTTACTAATCTCTTCACCTTTTTCCACCCACTCCTCTAACCCCCACCCCCCTCCCACCTTGCCCTAAATCTTATCATCCTTTGCTTCAGCCAAACACAAATATCTTCTCTAAGAACACAGCCTTTTGCTTGAGCACGTTTTGCACTATTTCTTCTATGTACAAGTTTTATTACATTTAGTTTCGTTTTTAAAAAAAAATATATATTTTTATTGATTTCAGAAAGGGAGGGAAAGGGAGAGAGAGAAACATCAATGATGAGAGAGAATCACTGATTGGCTGCCTCCTGCATGACCCCACTGAGGATCAACCCCAGCATGTGCCCTGACCTCCTGGTTCATAGGTCAACACTCAACCTTTGAGTCATACCAGCCAGGTGAATTCGGTGCTTTTTATTTTAATGTTTAGGTTTTAAGGCCCCAGCCACACTGAAGAGGAAGACTCCAGACCTAGCTGCTTTGGACAAGTGGGGTGGGTGTCTTTTAACCACTGGACTTAGCCTTTGGGGACTCTGTTGCTGGGCAGTGACTCGGGGACAGAAGGAAATCAGCTGGTGCTGAAAAAAGTCTTGAAGCAAAACATGCATAAAATCAACCTATGATCTGTTACCTCCCCCAGTCAGATAAGGAGAGTCCTCTTTATATGCCAAAAGCCACATCCCATTATCTATAGGACATAATCTTTCATCCATCCATCCATCCAACCACCCATCCATCCACTAGGCAACTTCTGTGTGTCTTCACAGAGACCGGACCCACAGCCATCTGGGTGGTGAAGGCCATAATAAGAGTGTGTGTAAGTCACCCAAGTGTTAGAGCTCGGCATGGGGTTGGTGTACAGTGGAGGGTGGAGTGGGGGGATTTTGCAAGACGACTTCTGTGTAGAGTGACCAACCCGTCCTGGTTTGCCAAGGACAAAAGTGGACTTGCTTGATTTTAAAAGTGAAAGTTCCATGTCCTGAAAACCCTCCTTAGACCCAGGCAAACCAGGACAGTTGGTCATCTCAGAGGCTGGAGGCGAGCAATGGGATGGATGGTTAGGAATGTGCATACAATGAAGACACACAGGGAATTTTCTTATTCAGGGTGTTGACCCTTATCTGCTTATGAAAAACTCAGAGCCTCTTGCTTTGTCAGTATTTACCCTCTGCTGGGGAAGTGCCCATTCACATGCATCAGGATGAGATTGCAGTGTGGTCATGAGATTACTTTGGTGCAAATGTTATGTGGGAATTCATAGAATGAGGAGTTTTCTAAGGAAATAATACATTAAAAATTTTTTTGCTTTCCTTTCAATTAAAACAATCTGTTTTACAGGCATTAAATAATCCAATTCTCCAAAGGATAATCCAACAATAGGCTTTAAAAAATACCTCTTGTCTGAACTATTCTTCAACTTTAGTGACCCCATTTGATTCTGAGAGGAAGTTTCATGTCGCAGGAGATATGGAGCCGCTGAATCCGTCTTTTAACCACGACTCATTTGCTTTTCCGTATTTCTTTGGTAGTTCCTTCCTCTTTTTGTCTTTGGGGAGCGTCTCCTTCTAATTTGATTTTTTCCTTTTCATAGACTGACTTGTTTAAAAGGCCTGGTGAGGCCAGCAGATGTTGATAGATGGGCTGTGCAGAAGTTCATAATGTGATTTCATATTATTTGGGTGTATCTGTTAAAATGGTGCTTCTAAGTGAACTCTATTATGTGCATGAAAAAAAAGTGTTTTGAAGTATAATAATTTTACTGCAGGTTTCATAAATGACTCATGCTTTTGTGAGTAATGTGTCAATACATTTAAAAGTGATTCATGTATACCTTGTTAGTGTTAATATAAATTAATAGGGCCATTTGGGGCAGCTTGGCAGCAGTTAGCTGCCCTTGGCTGATGCCAGGGAGCCTGAGAGGACTTGAGGCAATAAAGATATATTGGGGATAAAAAACAAATGTGTTACAATTTTCCAACATTGTAGGTGGGGTTGTAAATCGGTGTCCTTCCTCTGGGGAATGGCTAAAAAAAACCCACAGAAAACCAAAAAACTCCTGCCAACTGCAGCACTTTTCGCAAGTGAGGAGATAAATCTATATGAACTAAGATGGAAAGATTTATAAAGCATGTTGTTAAATGAGAAGAGAACGTTGCAGCCCTGGCTGATGTGGCTCAGTTGGTTGAGCTGTTGTTCCAAGCACCAAAGATCACCAGTGTGGTCCCCATCAGAGTAGACCACCTAGAGGAAGGTACCCCGTTTTCTAGAACGATGCAGCCCGCTAGGGGTTTCAGCCTGGGATTTTAACCAAAGGCAGCAGTCCTGTTCCCATTCAGTCCCCGACAAAGGATCTTATCTGTCTTTCCTGGTATTATTTCTCTCCCACTCTGTCTTTCTCCTCTTGCTGAAAATGGTGTCACCCCTAATCTCTCTTGTTCACAAAAGGTGATGGAGACCTATGTTGGCCACTGACGGTGTCAATCCTTATCTGTCGTAGGCCTCAAGTTCTGGGGTTTGCGGAAGCATTTTGTATAGCTGTGCACCAATGTGGTTTTGTAAGTCTGGAAAAAGCCTTCTACCTTTCCCGGTCCTTTCAGTTCAGTTCAGGCACTCACCCTCATAGTTCGTGCTTTAAAATCCCCCGTGCCCGTGGCTTTTCAGACTTCCTCTGCCCCATTCCATCTCTGAAAGCACTCTCCTTTAGTCCTTTTGAGTGTACCCCTCCCACCTCATTCCCACCACTTAGACTTAGCTGTTCACCTTCTGCACTTAGCCGTCTCTCCACACTTAGAGATGAAATGTAAAAAGCTGAATATTCCCACCACTTCATACCTTCTAGGATGGCCTTCACCAGGCAAAACCCCCAGAAAATAAGTGTTGGTAAGCATATGGAAACATTAGGACCCCTGTACATTGCTTGTAGGAATGTTAGATGGTTCTGTTGAAAAGAGGCTGGTGGTTTCTCAGTAAGTTAAACGTAAAATTACCTTGTTGTCACTGGACAGGGGCCGGGCTGAGATGGGTCTGCCCCAGCACAGCTACTCTGTCCAGAGCGGTGGTCCCGGGCCACGTGTGGCTCCTGAGCACGTGAAGTATGGCTGGTCCTAAAGGAGACGTGTGGTCAGTGTGGGATTCACACTGGGCTTCACAGCCTGGATCAGAACGAAGAGAATGGAAAACATCTTATTAGTGATACTTACATAGTGATTACATGTTGAAATGATAATATTTTAATATTATATTAGATAGAATATGGTTTTTAAAAAGCCAAATGCTGCCCAGACGGTATAGCTCAACAGTTGAGCATAGACCCAGGAATCAAGAGGTCACTAGTGCGATTCCCGGTCAGGGGTTGTGGGCTTGGTCCCAAGTAGAGGGCTGTAGGAGGCAGCCGATCAGTGATTCTCTCCCATTGATGTTTCTTGCTCTCCCTCTCCCTTCTTCTCTGAAATCAATAATATATATATTTTATATTATTATATATTATATATATATATAAAATATATATAAAATATATATATATATAAAATATATATATATATATATATATGTTTTTTTTTTTTTTTAAAATAAAAGCCAAATGCCTTCTGGAGAGATAACAGAGAGGCTTAAATCGCACTGAAGTCTGAAAGATAAACTGGTACATCATTTTGTTGCCCAGTCGGCTTGGCTCAGTGGTTGAACCAGGAGGTGAAAGTTCAGTTCCCGGTCAGGGCACTGGGTTTCACACTCAATTCCCATGGGAGGTGTGCAGGAGGCCGCTGATCAATGTTTCTCTCTCATCGATGTTTCTGACTCTCTATCTCTTTCCCTTCCTCTCTGTAAAAAAATCAATAAAATATATTTAAAAAATAAAAAATAGATAAAATGGTATAATTTTAAAGCTACAAATTTGATATTCACCTGGAAGTAGGTTTTAGAGTGAGAAAGTGACAGAGGAAGACGGGGATTTAGGGAGAATCTGCCTCCTGAGGGCCTGGGAGGAGAGGCTGGCCTTGCTGGCAGAAAGTTCCTGGGGCTCCAACTTGTCTAGTTCTCCTGACCTTTATTTAACTTTATCCTTACCATTATTTAGTATAGATTTTATGGTTAAAAAAAAATGTATGGGCCAGTAAATTACAATACGATGCTGCTTAGTTGGTCTAAGCGGGAAAAGAACAAGTCCCGGATTCTTTGAATCCAGGGGGAGCAGCTTTCAGACGGCAGTGTTGTTATTGCTGCTGCTCTGACCAAAGCGGCGGGAAGGAGCCCGCTACATGCTTATTCAAGTTTTACGTTTTCCTGATTGTGCATCTGCAGGAAGGAAGGTTTAAGTGCTTAGGCAAGATGCATGGCCACATTGATCTCAGTTTGCAAAGGACATGCTTGGAACAAGTTGCTTTGTGTTTTGTGTTTTGTTTTGTTTTGTTTTGTTTTCTCCCCCTTTTACTTAATATTTATCTTTTCATTTTACATTTCCCCCCAGATCAGCAACGTCTTGTTTTTCATTTTACCTCCCATCTGCATGTGCTTGTTCCGCCAGTACGCAACGTGCTTCAACAGTGGCATCTACTTAATCTGGACTCTTTTAGTTGTAGTGGGTAAGTGGACCCGATTGGGAGCATGGGCTGAAAGGGAGGAAATGGAATTCCAACACTTCCTGTCTCCTGTGAACATTGTGTTTTGTAAACCAAAGTCACTCTGACGTCTTAGCGTACTTTCATGTTGCTTGCTGGAGGCCAAAAGCACTCTTGTGAATATGGGCTCCATAACAAGGTTGGCGGTCATTATCACTTAATTGCATTTGAGAGTTCATTTGTGTCACTGCTATTGGTGGTATGCCAATGCAGTTTCTGAGAACGTCTGAAGAAAGTCATGTGGGACAATTGAACTCTGATGAGACTGTGGCTTCTAATGGACTAAAGGTAAAAAAAAAATCTAGTTGTTTGATCCTTCATTGTTCTGGGAAATTCTTGGGCAATTTCCACTTCCTTCCACAGGCAGATTGGCAACTCTTAGCAGGGAGAGAATGTTGACTTCTTTTTACTGCCTGATCCCATGCAGGCTCTGGATGAAGAGAGACCGTGCTCAGCTATGGGATCATTAACGTTCTGAAGTGCTGACAGTTAGGCCCTCCTTAAAATTCTCTGTCTAGACTTAAAGTCTGCATGCCTAGGTGGTGTGAGTTTCTCCCTTCGGTTTCTTTTTTCAAAGAGAGCGAGCGATCTGGCAATTGTGACGGTGGTTGGTGAAAGGCTCTCCTTAAGCAGTGTATTGAATTTGTGAGTCTTTTCTTCTTCGGTGACACTTGTTATTGGTTGTAATTGATTCTAGGAATTGGATCCGTCTACTTCCACGCAACTCTGAGCTTCCTGGGTCAGATGCTTGATGAACTTGCAATCCTTTGGGTTCTGATGTGTGCTCTGGCCATGTGGTTCCCTAGAAGGTACCTGCCAAAGGTCTTCCGGAATGACAGGTAAGCTTGTGCTAGCCCCTGCTAGGTGCAATACCCGGCATCATGTAATATGTCAAGAAACATAGCTCATGATGAAGCCCAGCCTGGTGACGAGTTCATCGCACACCTGTTTAATACCCCCTGATTGTTCAGAGTCTGACAGTATAAATGAACTGACAGAGGATTCTACATGCTTAGAGAAGAATTTCTATAACGGACAGAATGTCAAATGTCTCCCTTATTTGATATGAGAAAAATTGGAAAGGTTGTCAGTGGGGGAGATATTCCTGAAGGGCAGTTCAAAGACCCTGGATTTCCTGTTAGAATATTTCTTTTAGTCCAACCTACTCCACCATTTTATAAATTTACAGTAGAATCCACTAAGGAATTGGTTCTTGGAGCCATAATTACTGTAGTTGTCCAAATACAGTGTTTTTGCTTCTGATCACACACACACACACACACACACACACACACACACCCCTCCAAAGTGGAAACCCAGAATTTCAGGAAAGGATGCACTTTAATATCCATTGTGTTATGCTTATATGCTTGAGTATTCATCCAGTAAATACTTTTTGAACCCTTACTATTTACTATGCATTTTTCTAGGCTTCTAGGCACTGGGATGTATCAGTAAATTAAACAACAGAACCTCTGCCCTGGATGAGCTTACACTGAGATTGGGGAGATTGTGAATCAACAAACAAACATAAATACTATTAGGGAGAGAGAAGTCTGTGACGGAAATGAAGCTGGTTAAGGGGTTGTAGTAACTTGGAGCTTGGTCAGGGATGCCTTCCTGAGGAGCTGTATAAGGGTATTAATATCTGAGGGAACAGAAGGGAGAGTTACCCTCATAAAGATAAATGTTCCCAGAACATATTACCCACATGTTTGTCAAGGTATCTATGGATAAATAGTCTAAAAGATAGGGATTCAGTTAAGCAAGCTGGAACAGGGACAGGAGCTATACAGTATTAACTATTGTGTATGGACTGAGATGGAGGCATGTCCATGAAATATAATGGATACAAAATCACACTGTAGAACTGTGTGTGCAATATTCTAATTTTAGAATGAATGAAACAGCCTCTTGTTGAGTATATATGTCTTTGTACGTGCACACAAATGCCTGGGAGGATGAGGACAGCTACCACCACTCTTAGGAATTGGGGTGGGGAGAGAGCTTTCATTTTTACCTTTAAAAAAATATATATATGTACATATATATATATATATATATATATATATATATATATATATATTGATTTCAGAGAGGACGGGAGAAGGGGAGAGAGAGAGAGAGAGAGAGAGAGAGAGAGAAAGAGAGAAACATCAATGATGAGACAAAATCACTGATTGGCTGCCTCCTGCACACCCCTCACTGGGGATCAAGCCCGCAACCCAGGCATATGCCCTTGACTGGAATCAAACCTAGGACCCTTCTGTCTGCAGGCTGATGGTTTCTCCACTGAGCCAAATGGCTAGGGCTTATTTTTACCTTTAATCTACACTGTTTTCCTTTTTACAAAGAGCACATGTCAATTTTTAAAAAATATATTTTATTGAGTTTTTACAGAGAGGAAGAGAGAGGGATAGAGAGTTAAAAATATCGATGAGAGAAAATCATCAATCAGCTGCCTCTTGCACTCCCCCTGCAACCAAGGTACATGCCCTTGACCGGAATTGAACCCGGGACCTTTCAGTCCGCAGGCTGACGCTCTATCCACTGAGCCAAACCAATTTTGGCAACACGTGTTAATTTTTAATATGAACTTTTTTTAAGTATCTTATTTTATTTTAAAATATATTTCATTGATTTTTTTTTTTTTTTTTTTTTTTTTTTTTTGAGAGGAAGGGAGAGGGATAGTTAGAAACATCAATGAGCTATCTCCTGCACATCCCCTACTGGGCATGTGCCTGCAGCCAAGGTACATGCCCTTGACCGGAATTCAACCTGGGACCCTTTGGTCTGCAGGCTGATGCTCTATCCATTGAGCCAAACTTGTTAGGGCTGAAAATGTATTTTTAAATGAGGCAGGGAGAAAACACACTATAAATGGATTAGCTGTAGGATCTTCATCATGGGTAGCAGGAATTGAATTAAATAGTGTTATCTCTGAGTATAATCAAGTAGAAAGAGGTCTCCTCAAGAAGGTTACTTATCAAAAAGTGAAAGAGAAAAAAAAAGTGGAGAGAGGGGGAGGTGAGGAAGGAGGGAGGGCGAGAAGAGAGAGGGAGCGGGAGGGTGAGGAAGAGGAAGAGAGACAGAGAAAGAGAGAGAGAGACCCGCTATTTACCAGTCGAAGTGAAAAGGAGGTACTCCCCATCTTAGATGAAATAATGAAATCCGGTCTCCATGTGGCTGAGGCCTTGTCCTCAGTGGAGGAAATGCACATTAAACCACACAGGTTGGTTTAGCTGCTCTGGTTTCTAGTCTTGCCCCCTCTCTTGTTCAGCTTCAGGACAACGACTGAGGGTGGTCAGAAAGCCTTGTGAGAGGGAGGGGTGCGGGAGGGTCGGAGGCAGTGACATCAGGCAGGGTCATGAGGTGAGTTTGCAGGCGGACTTTCTGACTCTGTCCCTTACGCACACCATTTCCTCTTGGCTTTTCCTGTTGTCTCCGAAGGTGCCCACCAGCCCTCCGTCCTTTCCCTGAGCCTGGCAGGGGTCGGTCGGGTTGAGAGTTTTGCTCTTGGCTCTCATCTTTCAAGTCCTGGCATCTGAACGAGAAGTGGAAGACATGGGAGCAGGGTTCTGTTTTATTTGTTTGTGGCACTCTGGAGGCCTGGATTGAAATTCCAAGGGACATGTTTTAATGCACTCATAAGAGAGAAGCTCTTTCTTTTCTCGTTTCTTGAAGTTGTTATGAGCAGGAGATGAGAAAATGGGGCAATGGCTGTAGTAATTCGCGCTTACCACCTGAAATAATGAAAACATAGCATGAGGAGGCAGGGAAGTCTGGGACCTTTGGGGCTTTTCCATCACCAGCGCCATTTCTCTGTGGAAGCTGTGACCCCTCTTCTCAATTTGAGCACAGCCCTTTGGCGGCACTGACCACCACGTATGCATATATCCCTAGCCTTGGAGAGTACCTGGGTTTGAATCCTAGCTTCCCGGTTTATAAACTGTATACACTCTAACTTTCTATTTCCTCATCTATAAAATTAGGTAGCTCTAGGGTTTTTGCGAGATGACTGCAGCACTTCGTAGGTACTAAGATCAGGGTGATTGCTCAGAGTTAGCTCTCATGTCTGCCCATGGCACGGAGAGGTTGCCGAGATTGCTGCTGGCCTCTGTGAGGTATGCATACAGATGGAAGGAGGGAATGGGCATTGAGGATTCCAATGAGCAAAGACAGAAACGGTGCCTGTTACAGGAGGCCGCTCCCTCTAAGTAAGGATGTCGATTCCACTTGTCTGTCTTCAACTTGCAGTGATGCGGGGAGTGAGGAGAGCAACCCCTTCGAGGGGCTCAGGGCCCCGGACAGGTGGCAGCTCTACAGGAAGTAGCAGGCCAGACCACAGACTTCAGGTCAATACCAGCATTTCTGAAGACCAGGGATTGCGTGGCTTAGCTGCCTGAATGCATCAGATAGTTAGCATTGATCTCTCCTTTTTGTTTGTTTGTTTGTGACCTAGAATTTGCTGGACTGTTTCTAAAAACCTTTTCAGAGTAGTTCCTGTGGGAAACGCAGGAGAGGAGTGAGCATAGAAGCTAAGTGACTGGGTCAGACAGATATGGATTTGAATGATATACTTTTTTTTTTTTTTTTTTAGAGCTCTGATACCTCATTTTGCTCATCTGTAAAGTGGAGATAATAGCAGTACTATCTCATGGGGTTAGAAATGTATGATAAAATCTTACAAAGCGTATTAAGGACTCACTCAGTGCTAGCAGTAATTATGAATGACTAATAGGGATATGCGTTTGAAGATAAGGATGACTAGAACAGCAGGCATTATGTATATAGGAATAATTGGTGGGTTTAAAAAAAGAAGGGCATTTTTTTCTTCTTGTCTAGAATGTTCTTACGAATTGTCAGGACATACACTCCACTATAGATGATTATTAATAATTTTTAGACATTTTTGTTTTGAGAAAAAAAAACAAAAAACAAGAAGTATTATAGACGAATTATATCCATTCTAAAACAATTTATCCTGCTGTGGTTTTTGAAGAGTTTGCTCTGCAAAGTCTAGGGACAGACCTCACTTTAGTATCATGCAGCTCATTTTTTGACTCCTGGATACCAAGGGTGCAGGCTGGGGTCTGCGTGTCCTGCTCTCATGCTGACTAGGTGACTTGGGGTCACCATCTCCAACTCTCAGAGCCTTATCAGTTCCTCACCTATAAAACGACAGGGCTTTTTTGACCTTCCAGACCAATTGCTGTGGTCCTGTGACTGTCAGGGGCTTGTCCTAAATAGGTTGTTTGAACACTACAGGGTAGTTTAAAGCAGTGGATCTTAACCAGGGACCTTTCTGCCTCTTAAGGGGCATCTTGGAAGTTTATAGTGCTCACAATGATGGGACATTTTTCTCACCAAAAATTGCATTTTACTTCAGAGGAGTAAAGGGGCCATTACAAATACTTGATTTTAAAAATGGGCAGAGGGCCTGACCGAGTGAAAACTACTGCTTTCAGTGGTAGCTAAAGATAACAGTAATAGGTTTGTTTTAATCATAATATGGTGATGGTGCCGGGTGGCTAGGTTTTGGTTTGGGGAGCACAAGAAGAAGGGGTACTAAGAGTTCCCTGACCTTGTGTTCAGTTGGAGCCCACAAAGGGCCGGATAGTTGACAACAGGATCATTGCTCAGAAACAGCCTGTGGGCCCCTGGCTGCTGGCTATCGCTAGCTCTCTCGTACCGAGGGCCTCAGTCACTCCGGGCCTGCTGGGCTGCCACGTGATTTCTGGTGCCTTCTGGTTGCGACATCAGGCTTTCACAGGATGTCCTGGATGGCCAAGCAGCCTTCCCCAAGCACATTCCCCCACACCCGCTGGACTGATGTAGGAGGTGGCTGCCCTCGTCCCGAAAGCGTGTTGTGTCGAGCTTGCTGCCTTTGAACTCTGGCAGTAGAGTCTTCGGTGATTGCAACACCAGCTCAGTCAGATTTCCCCCGCGCGCGTGTGCTGTTATTAACAACAATAATATCTTAAAGAGCATTTATTCTCAAGCGGTGGCAGTGATTGCGGGTTTTATGAGCAGACACGGTGTACCGGGCACTGTATGGAGTGCTGCGATGCTTGCAGAAACCCCCTTAGGCAGGTGTCTTCACTGGCCCATGGGAAACCGGGAGCTTGGGCAGAGTCCCGTGATTTGCCAGAGATGCCACAGCCACTGCGTGAGGAGCAGAGTGGACACACACGGGTCACACCGGAACACCCGTGCTGAGAACTCTTGTGGCTCTCTCGAACCTGTGTCTGAATCCAAACCACTGGGTACAGGGAGGTGAGGCCATGTGGAAGTGTTAACTGTGTTTCCCCAGTCTAACAAGGTCCAAAGCCGTGGCATGTGTCACAACTCCTCAACCCAGGGGAGAGGGTTGTTGTGGGTCCCCAAGGGTTATACACATGATGGGGCTGGGAGAGCAGCAGCCTTTTACCCAGTAGCTCAAGGATGCCAGCCAAGGTCAGGGAAAAACACGATTCTCCCGGGGTTTGCCGCCTGGATCCTTTCCCAGACATATTTTCTTCCTCTGGTCGAAGTTCAGGGCTGCAGTTCCCGTTCGTTCCGCTCAGAAAGTTGGCAGCTTGATCAATGATTTCCTGTGCCTTGAAGATAAATGGTTTTCCTCTTAAGAGATTAATTTGTATTTTTAAGGTTTCAATGAACTTTGATTTTTTTAATGAAGGAATTTCATTTAAATTAGTTTCCTAACTGTGACCTGTTCCAGGGCTCTTGGCCAAAGTAAACTGTGTTCATCCCAGAAACGTCAGGAACATCACGAGCTCTTACGTTTCAGGCATAGATGAGGCCGTAGGGACGATCTGGTTCAGACTTTTCATTTTCTCGATAAGGAAGTGGGGTCCCGAGGAGAGAGGAAGCAGCACGATCAGGATCACGTCGCCGATTCTGGCTCTTCCTATTGACAGCACCTCCACCCAGAGTGAGAGGAGGCTGTCAGTCATTTTTCTAAGATTTTTCGTGTCAGAAATTTGTCAACACAAAATGCCAATGCATCCTAGACTGTGGATTGTCAGTAAATATAGACACGATCACAATGCTTTAAAGACTTCTACTTTTGTGAGCTAGACACAGGAAGTTTCTTTTTGCGCGCGCGCGCGCGCGCGCGCGCACACACACACACACACACACACACACACGATATTTAGAGAGAGGAGGGGAGAGTGAAACATTGATTGGCTGCCCCCTGCACGCCCCCTTACTGGGGATTGAACCCGACACTGGGGCATGTGCCTTGACCAGGAAACCAACTGGCAACTCTTCCGTGCCTGGGACCACACCTAACCAACAGAGCCACACTGGCCAGAGTGACGTTTTTCTTCTAAACCAGGAAGCTTGCAGAACGGGGGCTGATAAACTCTGTTCTGTGGGCCAAACTGGGCCACTGCCTGTCCTTCCAAATCAAGTTGTCTTGGAGCACAGCCCTGCCCGTTCACGCCCTTACTGTCCACAGTGGCAGAGGGAAGTCACTGTGTGACCTGCAGAACCTAAAACATTCACTGTCTGACCCTGTCCAGAAATGTTTACCAAATCCTGCTAACAAACGTTTTCCCGTAAAACATGGGAAAAGAATGAGAAGACAAGTATCCATATCTCACCCTTAGGGGACTGAGGTTGATTATAATTTTGCCGTTCTCGTGGCTGAGTATTTAGAAAATTTCTGGTTATTCCCTGAGGATAAATTCCTAGAAGCCTGTGAGTGTGAGTGGTTCTTAGGCTCTGGGTACGTGGTGCACAATTTCTTCTCAGCTTCCACTCCCACCAGCAGTGCCTGCACTTTGTCCACATTTGACAAACAAGACCTCCTTAGTTATGCAACTTAATAAAAGGAAGATAAATGATCCAATAAAAAAAAGGGCAATGGACCTAAATAGAATCTTTTCAAAAGAAGACAGGAGGAAGGCCAAGAGACACATGAAAACATGCTCAAAGTCACTGATTATCCAAAAGATGCAAAACAATGTGGTACCACCTCACACCTGTCAGAATGGCCAACATCAACAAATCAACAAACGACAAGTGTTGGTGAGGATGTGGAGAAAAAGGAACCCTCATGCACTGCTGGTGGGAATGCTGACTTGTGCAGCCACTGTGGAGAACAGTATGGAGTTTCCTAAAAAAACTGAAAATGGAACTCCCATTTGACCCAGTAATCCCACACCTAGGGATATACTCTAAGAAACTGGAAACACCAATAAGAAAGGATATATGCATCCCTATATTCATAGCAGCACAATTTACAATAACTAAGACTTAAAAACAGCCTAGGGGTCCGTCAGCAGATGACTGGATCAGAAAACTATGGTACATCTACACAATGGAATACTATGCTGCCATAAAAAGAAGAAATTCTTACCATTTGCAGCAACCTGGATGGAATTGGAGAACATCATGCTAAGTGAAATAAGCCAGTCAATGAAAGAAAAATACCACATGATCTCATTCATTTATGGATAACAAAGATCATTATAAACTGTTGAACAAAAAGATAGATACAAAGACAGTAAAGCATCAAACAGAATGTCAAATTACAGTGGAAAGTTAGGGAGAGGTGGGGGAGATAGATCAACTGAAGGACTTGTATGCATGCATATAAGCATAACCAATGGATGCAAAACTCTGGGGGCAAGGGCATGTATGGGAGTAGGGTAGAGGGTAATGGTAAGATATGTACACATATAATACCTTAATTAAAAAACGAGAAAAAAAAAGACCTCCTTAGCTAATGGATGGGCTTTGCTTTCACCGATGCAGGGGCAGGTTCAAGGCAGTGGTCTGCGTCCTGTCCGCGGTTACAACGTGCCTGGCATTCGTCAAGCCCGCCATCAACAACATCTCTCTGATGACGCTGGGGATTCCTTGCACTGCGCTGCTCATCGCAGAGCTCAAGAGGTGGGTGCCTATCCCTGCCCTTCGCTGTCCCCGCGACAGGGACACACCAGCTCCTGGTTCTTCCCTCCCCCGAGTGTGGAGGAGCAGTTGGACTTTTCGTTAGCTCCTGACAGCTGTTTGAAAGCAAGTTCGATCTCATTTCCTGAAAGAGGGAGCAGTTGTTTTGTGGGTGCAGCAGCTCTTAGGGGTCCAAAGCTAGCCTAGCAGAAACATCTCCAGGATCTATCGATAGTGTGCCCCTGACCGAGGGGCCTAGAGTGTGTAAACGCTAAGAAAGGAGAATAGGTTTGTTCATGTGACAGGAATAAGGAGAAGAGTCCTAAAGGGGCAGCTGCAGTCACACACAGAGGGAAAAAGAAATGCATGTCTGTGTGCAAGGTAACATTGACTTCTGGTGTAGGACTGTCGATGGCTACTTTCTCTGAGACCTCGTTTCTTATTCACAAGCCAGCAGGAAAGCCTTTTGTCCTTGGGTGAGCATTTTTCTTCGGGGAGCTGTATACTCGGAGATCAGGCTGATATGGGGAAACATTTTAGCTGAGCTCTTTGTGTACACAACTATCATCTTTCGGCCCCCGTGCTCTTAGAAAACGCTGCTGCTCTGTGCACCCGCTTTTAGAAATGCATGACACTCTCACTGCCGAGGACATGGTATCTTCTCTCTGTCCCCCAGTGAACGTCACTCTGTGGAATGTGTTGGTCAGCTCTCAGTCTTTGTTTTGAGCAGGGACATGTACATTTCTCTCCTTTGCTCTGCCTCTGGGGGTTGCGTTGATTGTCAGCAATACCAGGCAGGGCCAAAGGTGGCCGAAGAGGTCGGTAAGCCTGCCAGCTGGCCACGGAGGGACACTGTCGGTCTTGCCTCTTTGGCTTCTTTGAGGAGCCTTCAAGGACCAGGGAATTAAGATACCTATTTCCGAACACTAACAGATCTTTTTTTTTTTTTTTTTTTTTTTTAAATATATATTTTTATTGATTTCAGAGAGGAAAGGAGAGGGAGAGATAGAAACATCAATGATGAGAGAGAATCATTGATTGGCTGCCTCCTGCATGCCTCCCACTGGGGATTGAGCCCGCAACCCGAGCATGTGCCCTTGATCAGAATCGAACCCAGGACCCCTCTGTCCACAGGCCGGTGCTCTATCCACTGAGCCAAACCAGCGAGGGCCACTAACAGATCTTGAAACCCTTTGAAAAACACACTCAGTTAAATAGCTGATAAAGACATCTGAAATGGATTTGGAATAGTCACCTTTTCTCTTTCTCATTAGCCTCAATCCTAGAGCTTGTTTCTAGTCTTTTCATTGTCCTTTCTGAGCCTTCTCTCAGAGCAGGAGGAAATAACCTTTATTATGACTTGGGGTCATGATCTGACGTTTGCTGAAATTTTGGTGGTGGTGTCACATTACCAAGTGACTCAGCTACATGTAAAATATTGTAAAATCGACTCTCCCCCCCCCCCCCCCCCCCCGATTGTAGGAGTGAATTGATTGTTAAGGAAAACTTTGAGAATGCAACAGAGGGTCAAGGAGAGAAGCAACAGTAGACTTCTGCTCAGATTTTTCTATTCTAAAGTTGGGTTCTGCTTTTGCACTTAACCTCACATTGGCATTTTGATCCAAGCCCTGAAAAGTGGGGTTATACCCAGTGGCAGTCAGGTTTGGATAAGCCCCAAGTGCAAATAAGCCTGGTGTGCGGCATCTGGCAGGGTCTGCCCTTCGCCAACAGAGGAAGGGACAGTGCAAGCTTCCCTGGACCCTGACTGGGCAGTGCTTCCCTCCCAGCATCCCAGGTAACAGCCCCATCCCCCCTCCTGGCCAGGGGAATCACCATATGACATTCCACCTCTTTCTGCCACTCAGCACACACACTGCGTCTCCAGCTCTCTGTGCTGGGCTGTTCCGTAAGCCAAACTTTCTGGCATCAATTAAACTGAGTGTATACTCAGTGCTAGACCAATTGCCTATATATTTATTGATATTTGCTTCTGTCAGATTTCATTTTACCTTTAAAAAATGGCAAGGCTAGAAGCCTGTTTATTTTGCCTTTTAGAGTGCAGAATAAATTGTCTCTATAGTTGATTTGAGCTTCTGACATGGAATGACTTATTTTCCTGAGAGAGCTGGAGAAGAATAGGTTTTGATCAGGGGAAGGGTTGGGGTCCATTGTGGACATGTTAAATGTGGATCTATCTGAGACATCGGTGGACATGTCTAGAAGGCAGCTGGGTTTGGAGTCTGGAGACAGGGAGGGGCCTGGGTGAGAGGGATGGCTCTGGGGCCCCTCTGTGTACATATGGGACCCACATCCACGAGCTGGCGGAGTGGCGGTATGTGGGGTAGGAGTTCCAGTGCCAAGGGGCTGGGAGATGTGAGGAAGCAGACCCATGGCTGGGGAGGTGGGCGGAAACCAGGACTGATGACATCGGGGTCCCGTGCAGGTGTGACAACGTGCGCGTGTTTAAGCTGGGCCTCTTCTCCGGCCTCTGGTGGACCCTAGCTCTCTTCTGCTGGATCAGTGACCGAGCCTTCTGTGAGCTGCTGTCGTCCTTCCACTTCCCCTACCTGCACTGCGTGTGGTAAGCCCTGCCGGGGGGTGTGTGTGTGTGTGTGTGTGTGTGTGTGTGTGTGTGTGTGTGAAGGAGGCTGCAGGACCGGGAGGCTCCGTTCTCCTTCCAGGTGCCCAGGGACGGGGGAGTCTGAGTGCCCCCTCCCCTCAGACACTGTCAGACTTTTCAGAAGCAGCAGAAACGACTGTCCAAAGCAGAATGGGCTCCCGGGAACTGGCTCAGCCAGAACAAAAAGACCTAATTGTTTATGCTTCAAGTCTGGGTCTCTGATCTCTAGCTCCATTATTAACACATAACGGAGCCTGAAAACCGAAGCTGTCACCTGAGCTCTGGCCAGACCACTCGGGCGGGAGAGGCGGGGAAAGCCTGGGGCGAACGTGGGGGCCAGTCCAGGGACGTCCAGCCGGGAACCACAGCGAGGTAAATATGACCTTTCTCAAGGTGTCGTACCTTTTGGTCAACCCACGTTCCCTTTTGGGTTTGAATGATCAGGTGAATTCTGGGGCCTCCCAGGTCATCTATGGACAGTCTCACCCATTCATTTCACAGGTGAAGGCAGTGGCCCAGAGAAGTAGAGTTGTTCATGACTCCAGCTGGTCATATAAAACCAGCCTCGGTGTCCGATAAGAGGGACTTGGAGCACCTGTACCTGGGGTGCTCAGGAGACACTATTGGGTAAAACACTGAAGCTGGTTGCGAAGTGTGCAGCATTCTCTCAGACGCTGAGGAGGAAGCTGAGTGGCTTCCTGGCAACCACTTCCACTCCAAACCCAGTCACCTTCCCCTCGCTGTCCTCCAGGACTTGTAATGCAAGCAACAACGGGGACCAGGGGAAACATGTAGGATGTCCCTTGCAGATTGAGAGCCTCCAGGAGGGAATTCCATTGGTAACGAGTTGGAAAAACTGTTAGATCTGATTCAGACGAAGTTTGACTTCTGTCAGGAGATGCCTCAAAACCAGATGGTTGGGAAGCGTTCACTTGCATTTCCTTGAACATGTGACCTTGTATATATAATCCACCTTGAGACCCAATCTGCTCCCAGTTTAAGGCTTGGGGACTCCCATTATTGTATGTTAATTCTAATTGAAAAATGAATAATAATAAAAAGGCCTGGGGACTTCAGAACTCTTTGCAAAAGGTGAAATAAAATAGAACAGCTCAAATTGGGATTCCAGCCTTAGTATCCATTGCCTGATATTTCAACCTTGACTCACACTAGTGAGTTTATAAACACTTTATATGTTTGTTGAGTTATAATGACAGATAATAGAACTCGCAGATTAATACTTACCCTGCGGGGAGATGCCATGATCACAGAGGTAGTTTTCCCGGGCGAGGCTTATGCATTGTGCTCGGTGTGCTGACCTTGTGATTTCCCCGAATGTGGGAAATCAGCTGCATGACATGTGGTAGTGGGGACTGCCTTCCTGCTCTCCCCTAAAAAGCAAAACAAAATGCACAGATGTTAGTGTGTGCTTTGGTGAGTTCTGGTAAGTATGTACACCTGTGTGAATATGACCTCATTCAAGATACAGTACATTTTTGTTGACCCAAGCAAGTTCCTTGGGCACACTGACAACGTAAGTAAAATTCGAGATTATACTGCAATAATTTTGGTTTAAATTTCAATTTGTTTTTAAATTTGGTGTACTTTCTGCTTTGTTTGTCAAAATGGACCATCTTTTTGACCCGGTTATAAAATGGCTTGCTTTTTAATAGCAAGTTTAAACAATATAGAGGAATATAGAAAGAGTGACGCTCTCATAATTCCATCTACCAAAGAGAGAACGGTTGTTAATGGCCTGAAGTATATCCTTCTTGAATATATGTATGTCTCCATTAGGCTTTTTAAAAATAAAAATAGCATCATTCTATACATGATGCAAACTGGTCCTTTGCTCTCCCTCACACAAATACTAGGTCATGGACAGCTTTCCTTACTAAGGCCTGTCTGTTATCTTCATTTACTTTGTGTGTCTGATCAGTCTTCACAGTGTGCTTTGTAAGTCCACCCTCTTAGCCCCGTTGTAAACCCTGGGCTCAGTCTTCTGGGTGGGATCCCAAAGGCATTTGCATGGTGGTTCCTGTTACCAAGCTGGAATATCAGAACATTCTAAAACAGGCTGTTTGCTCCAGATTTATCATTCCCCTGCTCACCGGGGATTGCTGACCTCCTTTTCCCCTTGCTAATGAGAAGAGGCCCCCCAAAGGTCAAAGGTCATGCATCAGGAAGGGTGGGTCAGGCCAGAAGGGGTTGGGGGGAGGCACCCGCAGCAGGCAGCGCAGCCTCTGCCAGGGCAGGTCTCACCTCCCGTCCTGTCTCCCTCCCTTCCAGGCACATCCTCATCTGCCTGGCCGCCTACCTGGGCTGCGTGTGCTTCGCCTACTTTGATGCCGCCTCCGAGATCCCTGAGCAAGGCCCGGTCATCCGGTTCTGGCCCAGCGAGAAGTGGGCCTTCATCGGCGTCCCCTACGTGTCCCTGCTGTGCGCCCACAAGAAGTCCTCGGTCAAGACCACGTGACGGAGGGCAGGCTTCTCCGCCTCAGGCTTCTTGCCAGCAAAGACCCCTGGGGGGTCTCAGAGTTGGGGGTGGGGTCTATTTTCTTAAAAAATGCTATTTTCTTGGGCTTTCCCTGGTATGTGTGGACCCCAGGACTCCACTGCTCCCAGAGATGGAGCCAATAGGGGGACTCAGTGCCTGCTTCCTGCGGGTCTGAGGGCTCCTGACCCAGCCATTCCTGCTGACAGTCAGATCCTGCCACAGACAGCACCCTCCACCCTCTGATGGAGGACGCCAGGTTCCCACATGGGAAAACCACACACACGCACACACATGCACACTCACAGGCACACCTGTGGCTAGGGAAGCTAGCTTTCTGCTTGTAGCACCCAAACACCCGGGTTTCACATGCCTTTGTGGATCCTTTCACTTCTACCTCTGCCGAGAGATGGAGACCTGACAGGTGAGGGTAAAGCGAAGGAGAAAACCCCTCTATGCCAAAACGACTCTCCATTCGAAGCCATTTCTGAAGATGACAAAGGGTTTAAATACTGATACTGTTGTCCCCCAGCCCAGCCCGGGAGCCTCAGACACAGAGGGGTCGCTGGGTCCCTCCCCAGACCCCATCTCCCTGCCTGACTTCTAACATCCTCGAAGGGCTGTGACAACCGTGAGGGTGGGCATCCGGGCTCAGAACTGGGAGCAGCCACGAAGTTTGGAAATGAGTTCTCATTGGACATCTCCTGTATGCAGCCTGGACATTACCTCAAGAACATCCCCATTCTTTCTCTGACTTTCGCTATGGTGGTGATCTCCACGCTGTCTGTAGATGCTCCGAGCACTGGGTCCGCAGCCTCCAGTGCTGGCAGGAACCATGCACCGGCTGCTTGGGCCTGGGCTGGAGCAGCAGAGCGAAGCTGTCGCTTCCGAGTTTTTCTCACCTAAAGTGACACTGGCTACGACCAAGTCTCCTCTTCACCGGAATGGACGGGAGACTCCACACCCTCATGAAGGTGTGAGGGAGGGATTCAAGACCTCAGGAACACTCATTCTCACTTGGGCGCTTCCTGCTTTGCACCCTTCCCCCCGTGCGAGGGCAGGGCAGGCTGCCCTTGTGCAGCCCGCAGACTCGCCACTGTCTCAGGCACCTCCCAGTGGGGCAGCACAGTGTGGGGTCTGGCCAGCAGCTGTTCCTCCGGCTGGAATCTGCACAGGATCTAAGGCAAAACCCCACGAAAGAACGGAATTTATAGTTTAAGAACGAATGACTTTATCTTCTCTGGTTTTCAAATTATTTTAGCAGCAGAACCCTGTTGGCAGTAAGAAATCTTTACGGAACCCCAATGTGTGAAGTGGGCTTTATTAGCTTAAATTTACTTTAAGGTTAAACATACAGCAGTTCTTTAATCTAGGAGGCAGTGAAAAGGCAAATTAACAATTTGGTGGTTTTCAAGGTAGGAAAATGTGGTATTGAATGAGTGTACATATCGCTATACTGTAGTGTAAAAACATATTCTAAAAACTGTACTTGGGTTAAATATTTCAGGAACCTCTAACCCACCTCTATGCAGCCTAGGTGGTTCATGAGACAGAATTGGAAAACTGCTGAGTCCTTTGGGTTTCACGTCTAGAATTTCTAAAAGGGGAATGTCAGACTGTCCTCTGCAGGTTGGCTTAGCAGGCAGATCCTGGTTTCGTCCATTCTGCATGATGAATGCCCCCAAGGAAGGGGGTTGGTGTGTTCTAAGCCCACCTGTCTTAGCGTGGGAGCGTACACCAGGAGAAGCAGAGAGAGAGGGTAGGGCGTGTCTGTGCGTGTGTGTGTGTCTGGAGGGTTCCTTAGCGAGGGGAGCGTTGTCAAGGATGGACCATTTACCTCCATCAGATGCAGGGCAGCTTCCCTGGGGAGCACTCCCTTCAGCTCCCAAGGCTTTGACCTTCTGGAAGTTTTGGGGTACCCTTTGGAAACGGGGCTAAGCGGTGACTGCTGGAAGTAAGAAAGTAGCCTGACTCTCCGAGCACAAGGACTAAGCTCAGATGTCAGGAGGAATGCTTCTGATAGGAAAACAATGCCCTGCTGGGGGTTGGTTTTAATGCAACGAGGGCTGAGAAAGAAGTGGGGAGTGGGGTGTATTGAGGAGGGCAAAACATAACTCGATTGAACTGTAGCTTGCCAGTGTGGGATGGCAAATCAAGAGAGTATTTAAGTTAGGTGGGTGGTATTCATATTTATAGTTACATACATATTTATAATGCCTTGATAGCACTACTTGCTCTTTAAAGAAAACTGGGATACTACAAAATAATCGGAGAGGTAATCTATTTCTATAGCTCAAGGACAACCATTAATATTTTGGTATATTTCCTTCTAGTCCCCCCCCCCCCCCCCCAGTTGTATGTAGATGTTTTCTAGAGCTGATGGGTTGTCCTGTAGTTTAAACGGAATGTGAGTGGGAGTTGGGTATTTTGCACAAAGAGCAGGCCTCGACGTGCACTTGCATTAGCGCGACCCTGGAGAGCTCGTCACTGGATTCTGAGTCTGACTACTGAGTCTTCCCTGCTGATGGAGCCGCGCGGAGTCATGGACTGGATTCTACCGGATCTGCTTCTGCTCTGAGACTGACGAGTAATAGGAAGTAGTATTAAAATGTGGTTCTCAGGTTTTGATTTTATTGAATACTGTTTGCCAATTTAAAATAAGTGAAGGGCTTATTTCATTAGAGAAGGTGCAATCAAGAATCTTTCTCTCCCACCTGCCAAGGAAGGAAGTGGAGGTTTCACACTTGGGAGTTAGGTCACGGCAGTTGCTCAGCATGGCTGTCAGATTGCTGTTCTGGGTAGAGTTTGCCCCAAATCAGTATCCAGAAGGAATGGATTTTGCATATTAAAAAAGTGTTACCATGTTATTAAGTCAATGATTCTTATTGAATACTGTTTGATTGATTATTGATTTTTAGGGAAAGAAATATTTATCCCCTTGATGAGTATACTATTATAAAACAAACACTTCAGTGAAGGTGCCTGGGAGCAGGTAGTATCTGAATCTCTTTGGTCACATGCTACCTTTTGGGGAACTCTGTGCCTGTCCCTCTGAAGTGTGCCTGAGCTTGAGGGCCATCAAACACGGGCTTGTAAAACACCATCACCCGTTCTGATTATTGGGCTTCTCAGGTGGGCAAAGCATCTCACCAGTCCATCGTGCTTACATGAGCCAGTGCCGTTGTGGTGGCCCAGGACTGGATGGGAGCCCGCCCTGGCTCTCCCTCCCTCACGCTGACCTGGGACCGCTGTGAGGGACAGGTGAGGGCGGAAGCTGGACTAGCCAGAGCCCCGACCAGAGCTCCTTTCTCCAGAGGGACTTGGGACCTTTCCTAGCCAGCCTTTGCCTGGGTGCTGCCTCTAACTGGCCAAAGAGAAGTCTCGGGCCAGGTTGGGATTCCTCATGGATTTTATAACATCATTCTCCTATGGACTTTTTTTTCTTGAATGGCTCCTACTATAAGGGACTAATTGTTTGAATTGTATCTTTATATGTTAAGCCAGATTTAAGAGTATTTTATAACCACGATTTGTAATGAGAACAAATATAGTATTTTCAGATATATTCTTTCTGTAGTGTATACTTTATGCAGGGTGTGTGCTGTGTAAGGTGTGTGCCCACTGGCTGTGATGGCATGCAACTCTGTTCTTTGGGAGAAGTGTAAGGCCTTTTGTAATGGAACTCTTGCACCATTCGGTGAACTCTGACAGCTCTGTTTCATAATAAAGCTGTGATGGCATTTTCTGTGAGTAAATATGTATGTTTGTAGTTATTTCCACAATGACTTTGAAATGCCTGTGTAAAAACGCATTAAATGGATTTATAGCAAAGCACATTTACGCAAATTCATTCATTTAAAAAAAATACTTTTTATCGATTCCTGAGGGAGAGAGAGGAAGATAAAAATATCAATGAGAGAGAATCATTGATTGGCTGCCTCCTACTGGGGATGGAGCCTGCAACCTGGGCATGTGCCCTGACCAGGATTGCACTGTGATGGCCTGGCTCAACCACTGACTCACAATGGCCAGGCCCAAATTCATTTGTTAATTTGGATTACCACTGTTACGAAACATACTTAAAATTAGTGTAATTGTTAGCTTCTGCTCCAAGCTATGAAATCAATACATCTAGACATTTCCCAATATACACTACCTAAAAGCAGATTAAAAAAGTGTTACCATGTTATTAAGTCAATGATTTTTATTGAATACTGTTTGATTGATTATTGATTTTTAGGAAAAGAAATATTTATCCCCTTGATGAGTATATTATTATAAAACAAACACTTCAGTGAAGGTGCCTGGGAGCAGGTGTCTGAATCTCTTTGGTCACATGCTACATTTTGGGGAACTCTGATTAAAAGTTCTATAATGATGTCAGGTGGATATAAAATCTCAAATACAGGAAATAACTCATCTGTGCTGGATTTCGTCCAGTCACTGGGGGGGAGGAAGATCATATGACATTTCAAAATAGTAAGTGACTGTAGCAGGAAAATTCCTTATCAACCCATTTTTCTTAAAATTTTTGTGTTTTCAATGAAATAATTCAAAGGTCAATGTCTTTTAACGGGAGATATGACCAGTGGAGAGGAACGACTGGACTAGCACGGTCAATACGTTGCAGCGGATCTGTTTTCCGGGCAGGGGCGAGGGGGCCAGGAGCCTTCGGACAGCCCTGGGGAAGCAGTCTATCTTCTCCCGAGGAAGATGCCCATGCATGTCTGATGTCCCTAGAAGCAACCCAGGTTTACAAACAACCCTCCTGCATGACAGGACACTAGGCCAGGATTCAAATCCTCCTGCTGAAACTGTGCACAGCTCAGCTGTCTGACCGTCCTCTGAGACCAGCGCTCCCCACACTCCCTCTCTTGTAAGACTATATTATGAGGGGCCAACGGGTGGGCAGGAGGGAGGAGGCCGGGGGCAGGGAGACAAACACGGGCCTGAACTTACATCCTAAGCGTCCTCAACAAACCGGGAACTTCCATTTTCCTCACAGCCTGTCATGGTTTATAGTTCCAGACCCACCTTCAGATGGTATCTGGGCCTGGCATAGCATCTGTGTACTTTTGCATGGCTGAAATTTTCCATAATAAGCATTTGCTTTTTTTAAAGAGTGGCATTTGGGTTTTCATCCTCCGCTCTCTCTGGAGCCGGGCTCAGCCTCACCAGCTGAAGGAGTTACCTTGCCTTAAGTGGGCACTTGGGTCTCTGACTACCTCCAGGCCTGGCGACACCCAGCTCACCTGGGAAATATCAACCTCAAGAGCGGCTTTTTGTTTGTTCATTTTGTTTTCTCATTAAAATAAGACTTTTGATTTAAGCTGCTTTTGCAATTGAGAGTAGATCATAAACCTGTTTTTAAAATGTAAGGAATAACCATAAAGTCAGCCAGTAGAGTTTATTTTTGAGTTAGGGCTGGTGAGGTGACAGTGGCTGAAGGTAAGGCCAGGAGCATGACTGACAGAAAGTGCACAATGCCATAGCGACATCCCCTAGGCAGGGTGGGGAACCTTTTCCTACCAATGGCCATTTGGATATTTATAACGTAATTCGAGGGCCATACAAAATTTTCAACTTAAAAATTAGTCTGCTATAATTGGTCAGGCACTTAATTAACTCATCCCTAATGCATTGGCAGGGTCAGACCAGACCAGATGATTTCTCTGGCCTTATACCGCTGGCGGGCCTGATACCCCCCCACTCCAGAGATAAAGCAGAAACCACTGGGTGGGCGAGACCGGCAAGATTCCTGGAATAATATTGCCATCTTGTGGCCTTTTTGGGTATTGCTACCAGTGCCACCCGAGAAGCCCACCTCCATTGCTACTCATCCCAGAATTCAATTTTATTGTTTTAAAACTCCCACAAATTATGCAACCTCTTTCTGGGTCCAAATATGTTTCCTTAGATTTTTTTTCTTGGATTTTTAAAGAGCATCTCTATGCCTTTCTATTCCTCTCCTCTTTCCACAGAATCTCATTCTTCATCCCCTAGGCCAGTGGTCGGCAAACTCATTAGTCCAGTGTTTTTCAACCTTTTTTGGGCAAAGGCACACTGTTTCATGAAAAAAATCACGAGGCACACCACCATTAGAAAATATTAAAAAATTTAACTCTGTGCCTATATTGACTATATATAAAGTAATTCTCTTGAATAGGAATCAAATAAACACAAAGAAAGTATTTTATAATTACTTTATTATGAAATATTAAGTAAACAAAATAGTGAAAAATTATAAAATTCTTGTCTTGTCTGCACCTACGGCACACCAGGCAACATCTCGCGGCACACTAGTGTGCCGCGGAACAGCGGTTGAAAAACGCTGCATTAGTCAACAGAGCCAACTATCAACAGTCCAACGATTGAAACTTCTTTGGAGAGCCAATTTTTTAAAACTTAAACTTCTTCTAATGCCACGTCTTCAAAATAGACTCGCCCAGGCTGTGGTATTTTGTGGAAGAGCCACACTCAAGGGGCCAAAGAGCCATATGTGGCTCACGAGCCACAGTTTGCAGACCACGGCCTTAGGCTTTTTTAATTTTTATTTTTTAAAACATATGTATTATTGATTTCAGAGAGGAAGGGAGAGGGAGAGAGAGATGGAAACATCAATGATGAGAGAGAATCACTGATTGGCTGCCTCCTGCACTCCCCCTTCTGGGGATCGAGCCCAAAACCCAGGCATGTGCCCTTGACCAGAATCGAACCTGGGACCCTTCAGTCCACAGGCCAACGCTCTATCCACTGAGCCAAACCAGCTAAAGCAGTCCTAGGCTTTTTTTTTTTTTTAAATCTGAAAAATATCATAAAACAAATATTTTCCTGATATAAAACCAACCTAACATAAATGTGATCCAGAGTTTTTTCTTAATCCACTGGAGTTAAATTTAACTTTTGGGATTGACAGTTTTATTTACACAAGTCAAATGCCAGTACAACCCAAGTCGTTAAGACAAAATACAGTTCGAACCAATACTTAGCAAATGCCTGCTTTGTATTCGGTGTGTGCTAGCTGCTAAGGGCTCTGTGATGAGTGTGGAGGAGAAGGAGACCTCTAGCTCTGCCGAGATCCTTGCATAGAGAGGAATGAGCGGTGCTGGGAGGCAGGCAGGAGAGAACATGGCTTGGCCAGAGGGGACTAGGGTTTGAGAATTATAGCCTTGAACTGATGGACCATGAGCCATCCTATCTAATAAAAGGCTAATATGCAAATTGTCCCCTTGACCAGGAGTTCAACCAGGGGCAGGGGCAGCCAGTCAACTCCCAAGTCCAGCAGGCCCCAGCAGATCAGGCCTGATTGGGGCAGGCTGGATCCATCTTTGCACAAATTCATGCACCAGGCCTCTAGTGTTTAATAATAGCCACTTTTAGCTGGTGAAGGAATTGTATTTTTTTTTTTTTTTTTTTTAAAGAAGGTCCAGCATTTCTTTCTTCTCTCTCTCTCTCTCTCTCTCTCTCTCTCTCTCTCTCTCTCTCTCTTTCTAATATATTTTATTGATTTTTTACAGAGAGGAAGGGAGAGGGATAGAGAGCTAGAAACATCAATGAGAGAGAAACATCGACCAACTGCCTCCTGCACACCCCCTACTGGGGATGTTCCTGCAACAAAGGTACATGCCCTTGACCGGAATCAAACCCGGGACCCTTCTGTCAGCAGGCCAAAGCTCTTCCACTGAACCAAACCAGTCAGGGCATATTGTTATTTTCTTAAAGCAAGCCTTACTTGCGTGCCCTCCCATAAGTTATCATTCACATAAATTGTCCTGATGACTCCTCACGACTGTTTTGTGAGGTGATGATTGTTATGATTTGTTCGGGATGAAAAAACTTGAGGCTCAGAAATGTATTTATCTTTGGTATTAGGTGGAGAGTCAGTGCTTGAACCCAATACTTTCAGGTCTTAAGTTTAGGTCTCTTTTTACAAAGGATTTAATCTTATTTTTAAAATGGCAAAGGACGTCAGGGTTTTCCTATAGGTGGACATCGCGCTGGAATTATCCAACTAAAACTACCCTGTTAATACAAATGATTTAGATGCCGAGTAGCAGTTGGTATGTAGTAGGTGCTCAATAAGTGGCAGCTAATGATCAAGAAACCCACCACCCAACAGTCCGGGACGACTGTGTTGTCTTGTGGTCAGAGCGGGCACTCGTGCGTTTCAGCCAGATGATTCCCTGGGAATCCCGAGTCTGAGATCTCGTCGAGTCTGTAGGTCAGTGTCCTCGTGTGCAAAATGGAGGTGATAGCAGTTACTTCAGGGGACCATCCTGGAGGTGAACGAAATGTTTCCTGAGTGGTGGAGACTGCCGCTTTCCCACCCCGAGAGCAGGCGCCTCCTCGTTCTTTAAGGAGCAGCTCTGGCTTTTAGACATGAGGATGGCTGTCTGAAATGCAAGTCTACTCTTTGCATCCTTTCCCCCGTCGGTTCTGTTTGAAGAGACAGAGCTTCCAGGAAGCTTCCTGTGACGGTTAATTTTCTGTGTCAGCTTTCCTGGGTTCGGGGACGAGCAGGTAGCTGGTAACACGTTCTTCTGGCTGCGGCTGTGAGGTGCCACGGGTATAAGTGAGCTGGAGTCCACAGACAGAGTCAAGAAGATCATCCTGCTCAGGTGGGCATCAGCCAATCCCGGGGGCCGGGGTGGAACAGAACCCCGGAGGAAGGGCCGGTAGCTCTCTCTGCATGAGCTCAGACACCATCTTCCTTGTGCTTGGACACTGGGCTCCTGGTTCCCAGACCTTCCATTTGGGCTTAGACTGGAACTGCAGAGCGGCTTCCCGTTTGTTCACATGAACCAGCC